TCCAGGGATCAGGACCTGGCCTCTTCGTGAGTTTTTTCATCCTGCCACAGTCCTAAACTTTAGTTAAAACTGTGGGCTCCATTCCCAGCTTAAATTCACTCCTTAAACCCAGTCAGCAAGGAAAGAATAGTTGCACCAACTGGGACAGTCCAGAGCTCTTGCATGACCCTGGATTAGTCACTGAGGCAATCACAAACAGAATGTGGCCATGTGTCTCCAATCCAGTGAAGACTACCCTCTGGAGCTGGGACTGAGAGGCAATAGCTCCAGTAGGGAGCTTAGAGTGTTCAAAGGGAAAGAGAAGTGGGGATGCCTCATACCTGAACTAAAGACCTCATTCTGAGATTGTAGCCCTTCTTTCCTGAACACAAGGGGGAGCTCATACTCTACCCTCACACTCCCTGGTGCCAGTATTTCTTTCCAGAATTCACTGGAACTCCTATCACACTCCCCATGTCCAACTTTCTCCCTAGATATTGACTCTTCATTCCAGATCTCTGTTAGCAAATCAAAATGCCTATTTGAGGGCAGCAGTTAGTGGAGGGACAAGGCAGACCGCAGCAGCTGCAGCAGCAAGAGACCTAAGTCACGTATAAAAGCCCAGCAAGGTGCACAATGGCTCCTAGAGACTAAGGAGGCCAGGGATATTAGAAATGGCTACTCCCCAGTCAGTCTTTATCTTTGCAATCTGCATTTTAATGATAACAGAATTCATTCTGACCTCAAAAAGCTACTGTAATATCTTGGGTGTGCCAAAAGCAGCATCTGAGGCCAAATCAAGAAACGCTTTCACAAATTGGCCATGAAGTACTACCCTGACAAAAATAAGAGCTCCAATACTGAAGCAAAGTCCCAAGAGAGTGCAGAAACATATGAAACAGATGCTAGTAGGCAAAAGAAATATGATATACTGGGACACAATGTTTCACTAATGGCAAAAGACAAAGGAGATAGTGGAAGTTCTTTTGAGCAAACTATCAATTTCAACTTTGATGATTAATTTAAAGACTTTCTTTTTTTTCATCAAAACCAAAACACTTGATCTAAGACACATTTTGAAAATTCCAGACACAGCAGGATGATTCTAGCAGAGGGAGGCATCATTTTCAGAAGTTTTCTTTTGGGGGTGAACTGTTTGATGACATGTTTGAAGATATGGAGAAAATGTCTTCTTTTAGTGGCTTTGACACCACCAATGAGCACACGATACAGACAGAAAACAAATTTCATGGATCTACTAGGACTGCAGGACTGTCAGTGAAGAGGACATATGATCACTATATAGTTTAGACAATACCTTCTTTTTCAGTTATTTCTGTTCTTATTAAACCCACCTGGTTGACTCTTCCTTAGCATCTTTGATTAAAAAGTTTTCTCCAAAATATTTAAGTGCACGATTTTACTCAGAAATTTAATATTAATACACACGCGCGCACACTATCCTAGACTTTCCAGAAGAAAAACATCCCTGCAGACACTTTAGTTTTTGTCCAGTAAGTAAATTCTGAACTTTTCACTTCCAGAGCTGTGAGATGTTTTTATTTAAAGTCAACTAATTTTGGTATGTTACAGTGCTAATTGAAGGAAACAGAGTCCATTGTTAACTTCAACAGCCAAAGGCTGCACACTTTCCTATGATACTGGGAACTAGGCCTTGAGGCCATAAAGACCTGAGCCTTAGGCAAACCAAGACAATATAATGAGCAGGGCAGAACCCAAATATCTACATTTGGCTGCAAGTCACAGCTGAGCAGAAGAACTAACTCTGGAGGTCCCTGCCTCTGGATTTCACATAATTTAAGACAAAAGTGGTGGTACATTTCATTACCTGTGACCAAAAAACATCTTACAGGATAAGCTTCCTTTGATACCCCACTAGTCATGCCAAATCACAAACCCAGCATCCAAGAGGCAGCTCTCACAAGTGACCAGGCCCCTCAGGCAGGCTGACCCTCACTAACCTGACTCAGAATCACTCGAGAGGTAAGTATCACAGAGCACAGACTCACTGTGTTCAGCAGGAATAGCCCAGGAACCTCAGCTGCAACCTCAGCGGCACAATCATGGGGTTGCAGGTGACAGATAATCCAGTCTCAAGAGTCTGGAATGAAATCAAGCTGCAAGAGGCAATAAGCAGTTTTGTTTTTGTTTTTTTTGTGGAACCAGGGATTGAACTCAGGCCCTTGTGCTTGCCAGGGAAGCACTTATTTCACTGAGCCATCTCCCCAGCCCAATAAGAGGTACTTTTGTTGTTGTTGTCTTTTTGTTTGTTTTTCTATGCTACTGGCCTTTAAAAAAAAAATTTTTTTTTTTTTAATTTTGAGCCACGGTCTCACTAAATCACCAAGTTGCCCAGGGTAGCTCAAACTTGCAATTCTCTTGCTTCTGCATCCTAGAATGCAACACCATACCTAGCTGAAACTCTTTTGAGCTAGTAATTTCTGGGGACATTTTGCAAGTTTGACTCCAACTTGTCCCTGTTAAAGCCAGAAGTTACTTCCCTCACATTTTGAGGAGGAAGTACAAAGCCATGTATAAGGCCTAAGCCTCTCAGAAGGCTCCACTGTAATTTAATTTGCTATTTTATTGGGTCTGGTGATAAATCTGTAAAAACTGACACTTTTAAACCCTGGCCTACTATCCTAGAACATAAACATTTTCACGTATATAAATTCACAGGGCCGGGGAGATGGCTCAGTGGAATCAGCACTTCCCTGGCAAGTGCAAGGGCCTGAGCTCAATCCCTGGTTCTGCAAAAATAAATAAATAAATAAATTCAAAATTATTTTCAAAGCCTATTTTTACATAAACTCTCTACATTTCACAACAGATCAATCTCATTTTTTATAATTCTACTATAAGTCTTTTCTCCAATATATTTCTTACAGCTATTGAGAGGAATTTGTACATACATATTTGAGTGTTGATTTATGTCAATTTGTCTCTCAGTCTGCCAGGTTTATTTTGATCTCAAAGTGATTTAAAAATTTTTTCTTTGGAACTGTGAAAGACAATGGGAGAGAAAGAGAGAAAAAGAAAAACGCAAGTATGCAGGGCCTTTGCACTGCGCTACAACCTACTGAACTTGCTAAATCCCTAAGGTACTTAGGATAAGTCTGAATTTGGGATCTTCCACCATGGTATATAAGCCTGTTTCATGAGCGTATCTGTAACTAGAAGAACACCTAAATATTTTAAAATTCACATTGGTGAGAGCAGCTTTTCTTCTTTGGTTTTAATGTACACAGCCATTCAGGGATGTTGAACAGAATATGAAAAAGACTGAAGAAAAACCTAAGTCAACTTTCATTAGAGGGAAAGGTAGACTTCCTAAGGCAAGAAGAAATGCTGAAGAGAACTGTGTTTAAGACCAGCAGTCAGTATGTATCCAGCTTGCTCTTTGATTTCTAATGACCAAAAGACAAGACATCCTCACACTGAGACCAGCAAGGGGGAAGTCAGAGCCCAGTTCTGAATGACATCAGTGGTCAGAAGTAGCACAAAGAATCACACACTTGCAGACTTTCCATTCTGTTAAGAAACTTGTTTATGTGGCTTTTCAGTTATCTGCAATCAGTCACACCTGGCAAATACAGAAGGCTATGAACTGCAGCATTCCACTATTTACTCTATGAATGTTCTACATTACACCTTCTAGTCTGTTTTACAGAAATTGGTTGTTCTCAGCCTCTGCTCACAATTCAAATCCTTTGCCTTTTCTCCTGTGCTAGGTCCAGTGTACATTTTGTTGGCCTTATCTTTGATGTTAGAAATAAACAGGTAAAAAAAAAAAAAAAAAAGAAAAGAAAAGAAATAAACAGGTAAAGAACATACAAATAGCAATAATAAGTAGGCCAAACAGTCCCTTTGGTAAAAAATAGCTATAACCCTAGGTTCCGGGTAAAATTTAGACAAAAATATAGCCCTTACTAACTGCAACAACAATCAAGGTAAAAAGATGTAGCCGAAGAGTGGTCACTTCCACTGTGGAAATAACAATTAACATCTCCTGGGACCAGCTTAGCAGACAGTGGGCAAATGAGCATGGGGAGACGCAGGGCTTTAAAACGCTGCAGAGGGACCAGGGAGATAGCTCAGTAGAATAAGTGCTTGCCTGGCAAGCAAAGGAAGGGCCTGCAAATCAATCCCCGGTTCCGCAAAAAAAAAAAAAAAAAACCTGCAGGAAATCCTAGGTCAGAGAAGGATGGGAGTCAGTGAACCCCGAGTGCCAAGCAAGAGAGCACTGGAGCACCCGGTGCATCGGAAGCCAAGACCACATGGGACAGGGGGCCTGAGAAGTGAACACAAAGTGATCTATGAGAAGACAAGCGGTCACTTGGCTGCTCCGGCTACAAGGTGAGGTCTTGGTGGATGGCCCCTACCGCGCATACTCGCTCACAGGACCTGGGGTACACTGGACCTTTCTCCCCAGATCTGGTGGGCCTCTGCAGGACAAACCTCCTGGGGACCGGGGAATAGTCTGCCCCACTCACATCCTTGACAGTCCCGCCGCTCCCAGTAACTAGCGGGACTCTAGGCCGGCCCTCCGCACACTCCGTTCTGCCAAGCCTCTCCCAGACCTACCCTCCGCCCGGGCGAACACCTGCTACCACCCACCGTGCCCCTAAACTCTGGCTGACTTCGGTCCCTGACGCCCTCACCTCAGCACACAGCCCACTCGCGACGGTGTCTAGCTCCGCCCCGTCCGGGAAATAGAGCCGACACTAGCTCCGCCCACACAATTCCCGCCCGCGCGGTCCCCGCCCCTGCCCGCGAGGTACGCCGCCAGATAGGCCCGCCTCCGCACTTCCGTCCTAACCATCTGACTTCAAGGCTCCAACTGGCCAGCGCCCTCCTCTGGGGCCCTCCCCTTTCCTGAACTCAGGTCTCCTAACGCAGTGGTCAACCTTGGGGTAAGGCACGATTCCGTTCCCGCCTCAGTCGCGGCCCACGGAAGTTGTGGGTCTTGGCAATAGGTACAAGTAACTTCCACCTGAGTAGTCGACGACCCCCGTCACTGCCTATCGCGGCTTCGCCGCCCTCCCAGACGGCACGCCAAGATGGCGGCTTATGGCGGGGCGCAGGGGCCTCTGGGAGTTGTAGTCCGGCTGCGCGCTGACGCACTTCGTCGCGGCTGTCTGGCGCCATTGTGCGGCACGCGCGGGTGAGTACGAGATGGGCCGCCTCTTTCGGGGTCCGCAGGTTGAGCGTAGCCTCAGGATGATGTGGGAGGCTCTGGGAGGCCGGGCGTGGGCGACCCGAACCTCGCGTTCTGCTGTTGGGGACCCACGGTGCCTTCCGCTTTGAACCTGCGCGCCGTCCCTGCCTTGGTTTCCCAGGATTCCGCTCTCCGCGAGGGTCGCTGAGGATCGGGACAGCATGGCCGTCAGGCTGCCGAAGCCGTGGTTCTCTGTGAGTAGCGGCGCTTGAGTTCTGAGCCCTCGCCCCCGAGGGCGGCAGCGGGTGGAATTGCCCCTCCACCACTGGAGGCCGGCGGGGGCCAGCCTGCGGGAGGAGCTGCTGTGCTATCCCGGGGTGGATGTACGAGGGCGGGCGAGAACTTGTCGTGCTCGTGCTTAGACTTCAGCCTCGACTTCGGAGTCAGCCGTGAAGTAATGTGAAGCCGCGCCAGGTGGGACATTCCTGTAACCCCACAGGGAGGCTGAGGCAGGAAGATAGCAGTAACGAACCAGCCCGGGCAATCTGGGGACTTAGGAGATCCGGTAGCAAAATTAAAAAACAAAAAAATTGTATTGCCTCTGTATGAAGGCCCTGTGTTCAATCCCCAGTACTGTGGGAAGGGAAAATGTGTTTAGTTCAATTGGGAGAAAAATTAAAAAAAAAAAAAAAAGAGGTGGAGGTGGATGGCTGGTATACCGAGTGAAAGAGGTGGAAGCAAGAGGGCTAGAGGTGGGGCATGAAAGCTTGAGTGTGGTGATTCAACTCAGGAAATTCCCTAGCAGGTAGGTATGTGCACACCAATCTTAAAAAGTCAGATCCCCAAATTAAGTGAACAGGTTTTCACAGACCGGAGGTCTCACTTGCCCTGGTTACTGTGACCTGAGTAGAGCGAGGCTTAGATTTCCTGAAGTTTGCGAAGATAGCGCAAGATGAAATAGACAAAATGCTTTCAAGTCATCCAACCTCACCTCTTTCTGTCACCACTGAAGAGGTTCTGCCCTAGCTGAACAGGATCCTGTGGGTTTTAGGAACTGGTGGACTTTGAAGATATAACACTGGCTTTTACCCCGGAGGAGTGGGGACTGCTGGACCTCAAACAGAAGTCCCTGTACAGGGAAGTGATGCTGGAGAACTACAAGAACCTGGTCTCAGTGGGTAAGGCTGGCCTCTATGCCAGAGATTGGTGCTTTGCCACACCAAAATTGCTGTAGAGGTGGCTGCTTGGGCTCAGGCTTTAGGTGTGTCTGAATGGAAGGATTGAAGGCTTTTCCTTGTACCTGAAGGAAAAAGGTGGTTTCTCAGTATGACTTCTTAAGCTTCGCTGAATCTATCCTTCCAAGCTCTTGAATGCTAGGGTTGGCTTATTAGGGATGTTTTCAGCTGTAAAAGTGGATGTTTTTGTTTTGTAATGGTTCTAGAGGGTGAGGTCTCCGTGTCCCATAGCTCACATGTATATTGTGTTCATCAAAGTTCCTGATCCCTTTTGCCTCTGTGATTCTTGTGAACCATTCTGTTACCTGGTTAGTTATTGCACCGCTATTGTTCCAAGCTCTGTGTCTGTATTCAAGGTGTAAACAAGGGAAAGGGACATCCTGGCCAGTTCTTTCAAAGCTATTACTTTTAGCTAAAAAGAAGAAACTTTCCAGACTGTCACACTTAACACTCCCCCAGCCACCTCTGTTCTTCTGAAAAGAATCTAGGAAATCTGACAAAAGGGATGGTTGTGGTCTATGTGACTATTGTAGGACCAAAGTCTTCTCATGCCCTAGTAATGGAGAAGCCAGAGACAGTGTGTGTTGCACCAGACAGCATTACTTTTCTGAACACAGACTTCCCCAAGTACTATCTCTTTTCCCTTGAGCAGAACATCAGCTTTCCAAGCCAGATGTGGTATCTCAGTTAGAGGAGGCAGAAGACTTCTGGCCGGTGGAGAGAGAGATTCTTCAACACACAATTCCAGGTGAGAACCAGGCACATGGAAGTTCTGCAGGGCATGGAACAACTGGTTAAGCAGAGATTGGTGTCTTAGAAGAAGCAAGAGTATGAAAACCAGGTGAGATGCTGTGAGGAGACTCAAGCTCTAACTTTTCCTGTGACTTTAGCAATGTCCAGCTTGGTTGAAAGTGAACCTGTTGCTAGTGGCAGATAGCTAACATTTTTGACCATGGAGTCCTCTACTTTTCCTTCTTATCATCCACTGTTTTTTCTGTGTATTGTTTATAATTCGTAGTATATTCTTTGGCCAAGTTATTGGGTTTTTCTTTTGTTTTTGTTTTTTTTGAAGGACTACACATTTGATTTCTCTTGTTTTCATGGATATTCAAATAATTGTAAAGAACTACCCTGTATACATTTTTCTGCATGTACAAGCTGAGCTTTTTGTAGGTTGTATTTCTAGAAATCGATTCATAGGATTAACAAATGTAAAAGTTAAAAATCTGGTAGCAGTAAATTGCTATCTAAAATCCTTCATAATATAGGTCATTACTGAGATGTATTAGCGGGCCTCATCACTAGCGGTTTGTAATGTTCTTTTTAAGATTTGTGTATCTTATAGGCAAAGGAAAATGTAATTCAGTTCACATTTTTTCATGACCAAAAAAATGACTTACTATTTTGGGCTCATATATTTAACCTCCCCTCTATTATTTTTCTTTCTTGTGTAGTACTGGGTATTGAAACCAGGGCTTTACACATTCTAAGCAATTATTTTACATCCCTACCTCTTTTTAAATTTCTTTTAAATTTTGAGACAAGATCTTGCTAAGTAGTCTAGGCTGGACTGAAGCTTGCAATCCTTCTGTCTCAGCTCCCTGTATAGCTGGGATTACAGACATGCACCATCATGCCCAGCTATTTTACCATTTTTATCTTATGGGGGGGGGGGTCCTATGTATTTTAAATGTTAGTAGTGAGATAGATAGATATAGATACAGATATATAGCATTTTTGAGTGTTTGGTTTTTGTGGAGAGAGGATCATACTTTGTATTCTAGGCTAGCCTGAAACTGATGGCAGTCCTCCTGCCTCAGCTTCCTGAGTGCTGGGATTACAGGTGTGTGCCATCATGCCCAGCTCTATGGAAGATTTTGTTTTTGTTTTTCAGACAGGGTTTTTCTAAATTCTCTAGCCCAGGCTCAAACCTGAGCTTCATACCTCAACCTTCCAGAGTGCTGATATGCTGATATTGTAGGTGTGTGCCATCCTTTATGCAGAAATTTTATAACTTAAGTTTTTCTTCTGGGTTTCTTATTGTGAGGCAAATTGTCCACCTACTTCCATGTATTGACGCATTTTTCTTTTTTCATTTTAGGGAAGGGTCTACCAGGTATTCAGGGTTTCACTACTAGATCAGACTTGTAGTGATCCACCTGTTTACAGCCTCCCAAGAGCTGGGATTACAGGCACGTGCCACCACGCCCAGTCTCAAGTGCTGTCTCAGCGCTCCCCAGGCAGAGCCGGTACAGCAGTCCCAGGGATTGATCCCCAGCCCGTTCCTGCTTGCAGGCACTTTAGTCCACTGAGCTATTTGGCTAGCCCTTCATTTAGTTTTTGTTTTTTGTTTTTTTTGTTTTTTTTTTTTTGTGGAACCGGGAATTGAACTCAGGCCCTTGCGCTTGCCAGGGAAGCGCTTATTCCACTGAGCTATCTCCCCAGCCCCCTTCATTTAGTTTTAATTTGAGATTTTCTTTAATATAAAGCATGGGGCACAAGTTCTTTCAACATCATTATCTGACTCAGTTCTTGTTTATTGAAAATAATGTCTTGCATGGATTAAATTCCTGTGACCATAGTGCACAGGTCTCTTCTAGATTCCTTTGAGCTTGTCTCTCAGGAAACCACATTTGTGTACTAATTAGAGCTTCATAATGAGCTTGGATAAGTTTGTTCCCCTGGTAGTGTTAAAAAAAAAAAAAAAAAAAACCTTAGCTGTCATTAACCGTCTAGTTCTTCAGGCGAACCCTTATGTTATTACCTTATCTGGGCTAATTGAGAAAATTCTGTTAAGAGTATATCAGACTTATGATTGAACTGTATTATCAGATCTATTAGTTGATTCTGGGTTTTGCACAGTTGCTCCAAATGAACTTGTCATACTGCTGAATTCTTTTATTTTTTTGTAACTGTTGTATTTCTCATTAGATGTCCTGATAGAAAGTTATTTTACCAATGTGTATAAAAGGAGAGGCAGTTATATCTATTTGAACAGTTTTATAGTGAAATTGGTTAAATCACTAGTGGTGTTTCAAAACATGCTGATAGTTGTAAATAATGGGTATCTAGTCTGATATAAATCAGAAAGTTGTGACTTTTGAAGAATGTGATTTGAAAATGGTTTTGTTGCAGATCAGTTTTTATCTCAATAATTAAGGAAGATCATCTAGCTTTCTCTAATGAGCAAAAACAACTAACATGCCTAGTTTACCTTCTAAACTAGGCAGAGTATGTCAAGGGATTTTTACTTTGAATTGTTCTGATGGTATAGTAGACATAGAACTGTCTTACTAGGTGCTGCTAGAGTCCCTTGATTTTAAGAATTTCTGTTGCAATATTCAGAGATTAGGAATGTACTATAGTTTCTTTTTGTGCTTGCTATCTTCATCAAGTGTGTGGGCTACAAAGCACTGGCTGATTCTTTACTCTGGGTTTTTTATAATTCTCATTGGAACCCCCTGCTTCTGGTATGTTTAGCTATGAAATCTCCATTTGATCCTCAGTGTTAATTTACCACCAGATGGAGTAACTGGAGTCTCTGAATATTTGCTCCTTTTTGGATCATATTTGTACTTTCTCTACATTTTAACTTAATGATTCACAAGTTTTCTGGAAGGGCCTGCTTTTTTTTATTTTATTATTTTTTTTATTAGGGCCTGCTTTTTTGAGACGAGATCTCCCTATGTAGTTCATGCTGACCTTGAACTCACTATATATAGCAGACTGGCCTTGAACGCAAGTGATGCTCCTGTGTCAGCCTCCTGAATGCTAGGATTACAGGCTTGTGCCACCATGCCCATCTTTTCTATTTAAAACTTTTTGTAGGCACATCCCCAAATCGTGCCAGACTTCCAATAGTGCAAGCCCTTCTAAATCTGGTTTCTGTCCCCTGGTTTCTTCTCTTGCTCCCACCCACCTCTCCCTTCCTCCCTGGAGCTCAAGTCCCATGTCTTGGCCATGCATTTTAATGATCTCTAGAGTTCCTTGTGTCTGGCTACTGGGGAAGGATGCACTGTGGACATCTTTAGTTCTCCACATCTGAAGAGAGCTGTCTTCTCAGATGGAAAGAGAGAATGTAGTGTCCCAGGATATAATTCAAGTGAGGAGAAGCTCAGGATGGTTTCTTGAGACTGGGTCTGAGATAATGCGGACCTGAATCATCTCTGCTCTGTTAGAGGGTCCTTTGCAAGTTAGCTTCCTTTTCCTTCCTTATACTTCACAAATATGAGGGCTTCTGCCTTTTTCTGCAACATTGTAAACAGTTGATAAAACAAAGACCAAACATAATCCCTGCAGCCATAGGTCTCATGGTCTAGTAAATGATGGCCTACAGACAGGTTCCTCAAGTATAAAGGCAAAGTGTGGCACACACCAAGAAAAGAGAAAATGTGGATTGGAGCAGCAAGGAGAAATTGTTCAAGGGGGGGTATATTCTCACAGTGCAGATTTGATGTTTAGCTGATTTCTTCAGGCAAAGAAAGTCTAAACGTTAAAAACTGTTTGTGAAGACAGTGCTAGACATGGAGACACCACTTGGAGTGACCATGAAATGGGAAAGAGCTAGATACTTTTCAGTGAACAAAATGGTCCAATGAGTTCAGGGCAGGTAACTGGAACATGAAGACATGCAGGTTATGTTTGGAGAATCCCCCAGCCTCATGAGCTGTAAGGGGAGTTTGATTTCAATTACTAAACAACATAGTGACATGGCTTTTCATCTGAGGGATTGTGAAGCCCTGGCAGTTTGTGAAGAAAGCAACTTTGGAAAGGCAAAGACAGGCAAACAGGAGAATGGTTTGTCGTCTAAGGGAGAAGTGGTTGAGAGGATAGTAGCAGGTTGTGGAGCACCAGAGTTAGATTGATTCACAGGGAAATCAGCGAAGCTAAGTAAGTCTTGGCTTAGAGGAACAGAAGAAAACTGATGAGAATTCCTCATTGACAAGCTAAAACATTTCAGAATTTCTTGTGAACTGTGTAATCTTTAAACTTAAAAGTGCATTCCTTTTGTATATGTTCATGTTTTGTTTGTAAATATGAGGGAGAAAAAATTATTCCTAATTTTTCTCATTAGCCAAATTATATGGAAAAGTCTGGCAAAAGCATATAATACTTTTAAGTGCAGAAATACATGTTTGTTTTTTATGTAGAAATAATTTTTAGCCAAAAGTGCTAATTGTGCACCTTGATTTAAGTGTTTGTCTCAGCCTATGTCATTACTGGTTCTTTCCATGAAACATGCCTGAGGGAGTTGTAGAGACAAGCAAAGTGGTGTACAAGAGTTTTAGAAGGGCATATTTTACCATTGTATGAGACGTCTGCCCTTGCTTTCCCTCTCATTATTGCACAGAACAGGACTTGAATGCAAAGATAAGCCTTTTGAAGAACTTAGCTTTGGCTGCCTCTTGAGCTTCCCATCATGGTGAAGATGGTAGCAGGGACTCTGTAGGAGCAGGAGAATGGATAAATGCTAAGACAAATGGTATTATCAGGAAAGCATTGCATTGGTCAAGATAATATGACAGTACTCAAATTGAAAGAGTAGTCATCTTCTGTCATTTGATGTTCCTTCAGAGAAGAGATAAACTTACAAATCATTTAACATTTTCAACTTAAAACATTACAGAGGAATAATCTCAGTAATCTAGCAGAGGATCAAAAACTGGAGCCCAGCCTGGGCAACTTAGTGAGATGCTTTCTCAAAATCAATATTTTTAAAAAGGCCTTGGGATATAACTCAGTGGAAAC